GGTGATGACTGCACAGTATGTCGGACAGATAGAGCCAAAACCAATCTACCTGCTCTTTCCATACCACCAGCGTACAGAGCATCTGAATGATTTTCAAGCCCTCAAGCATAGGAAGAGTGTACTAGAGAGGGCAGCTGGATATTATAGAGACAGTTACAAAGTAAAAATAAGAGGCTTAGTTTCTCCCACTGAAAATAAAAGAGACATCTTCTTTTCTTCTTCTTTAATCGTGTATTTTATTTTTTTAAATAAATTTTGTATATACTTGAGGGTTTGTTTTTGTTTTGCTTTGCTTTTGGGGAACAAGGATGGAACCCAGGGGAGCTTAACAACTGAACCACATCCTCAGCCCGTTTTTTAAATATTTTATTTTGAGACAGGGTCTTGTTGAATTGCTTAGGTCCTTGCTAATTTGCTGAGGCTGGCTTTGAACTCGTAATCCTCCTGCCTCAACCTCCCGAGCCTCTGGGATTACAGATATGCACCACCCATGCACAGCTATTTGAGGTTTAAAACACGATGTTGTGGGATACATGTAGATAATGAAGGGTTACTGTAGTGAAGCAAATTAGCTTGTCTATCATCTCACATAGTTACTTCCTTTGGTGACAAGAGCACATAAAATCAATTTACTTAATGAAAATTCCAACTATCAACCAGAGTCTTCGCATTATACATTAAATCTCTAGACTTGTTCATCCTGCATCTCTGCTACTTTGTATCCTGTAACTTTCATCTCTCTAATTTCTTCTCCCCATCCCCACCCTCACCCAGGTAACCATTATTTTATTCTCTAACTCTGTATGTTTAACATTTGAGGTTCGTAAAAGGATTCCACATATAAGTAAAATCATGCAATATTTTTCTTTGTGTCTGGCTAATTTCACTTGCATAATGTCCTCCAGGTCCATCTCTGTTGCAGCAAATGGCAGGATATGCTTTTTAAGACGAAGTAATATTCCATTGCACACACATACTACATTTTCTTTAGCCATTCATCCATTGATGGACGTGATGGTTGTTTCTATATTTTTGGCTATTTTCATTACAATGCTGCAATGAATGTGGGAGTGCAGATATCTTTAAGTAGTGGTAATTCCATCTCTTTTGGGTATATACATAGAAGAGGGATTGCTGGGTCATATGGCAGTTCTACTTTTAATTTCTATTGGAATCTCTATATTGTTCTCCATAATGTATGTACCAAACTAATTTCCAACCAACAGTGTTCCTGGCTTCCCTTTTATCCACCCTTGTCAACATTTGTTATCTCCTATCTTTGTGATTATCATCGTCTAAAGAGTATGAGTGGTAACCCCTGATGGTTTTAATTTGTATTTCCCTGATGATTAATAATGTCGGGCACCTTCTTTTATACCTGTTAGCCATTTTTTATGTCTTCTTTGCAGAAATGGTCTAATCCTTTTCTCATTTCTTATATAGATTATTTGTCTTTCTGCTACTGAGTTGTAAGAGTTCTTTCCAGCCAGACATGGTGGCACACACCTGTAATCCCAGCAGCTCAGGAGGCTGAGGCAGGAGATCACAAGTTGGAGGCCAGCCTCAGCAATTTACTGAGGTCCTAAGCAAGTTGGTGAGACATTGTCTCAAAAAAAAAAAAATTAAAAAGGCTGGGGATGTAGTTCAGTGGTTAAGGGCCTCTGGGTTCATCCCCAATACCAAATAAAAGAGTTCTTTACAAATTTTGGATATATACCCCCATCAGATTTGTGGTTTACAACTTTTTTCCCCCAATCCTAAGGTTGCCTTTTCAGTTTTGCTGATCGTTTCTTTTGCAGAAGCTTTTTAGTTTAATGTACTGCTCATTTATTTTTGCTTGTGTAGACTGGACCCCTAACCCATTTCTTCTGGAGAAAGAATGAGAGAGAAATGAAAGGGAATAAACTTATATGTGTAACAGTGCTTCCCAAATATGCAGCGTTTTAGACTGGCTGGGGGACATGTTTTTTACTATCTGTTTTTGTTTTTACAATTCTGGTGCTCAGGCCACATCCTGAGCTCGTGAAGTCAGAATATCTGGAAAAGAGATGCACTCACTCATCACTATTTTTTAAAGTTCTTCAAGGGATTTCAGTGTGCAGACACAGAGACATCCTGTGGCTTTCCCTAGAAAGAAGTCTTGGACCACAGCATGTTAGCAGTTGTGAGGTCTGTTATAACTAACTTTCCTATGAATAAGGTACACTTTTAATAACTAGAAATAACCTGTTCCTATTAAGGAAGTAATTTTAAAAACTACAATGAATGGGGCTGGGGATATAGCTCAGTTGGTAGAGTGCTTGTCTCGCATGCACAAGGTCCTGGGTTCAATCCCCAGCACTACAAAAAATAAATAAATAAAAATAAAAAACAAATCCTACTCATTAAAAAAAAAGAAGAAACTGCAGTGAAGTTATAATCATCTATAAGACTGACACCCTTGCCCATTGGAATTCTGATATGGTATCTGAGGCATAAGAGAATAGGATGTAACTATGGCTAACACACAAAGAATTCCATGAACCCCTCCCAATTTTGCATGGACCATAGTCTTGATGAGATATTATTACTGATTTTTTAAATAAAAAGTAGGATATTTTTATTTTGTTTTGTTTGCAGTACTACAGATTGGATCCAGGCCTTTTAACATCCTAGGCAAACACTCTACCACTGAGCTACATCCTCAACCCTTCTTTTATTTTTTGATTGATTAATTCATTGACTGATCTCACTAAGTCACCCAGGCTGGTCTCTAATTTGTCATTCTCCTGCCTTAGCCTCCTATGTGGCTAGGATTGCAGGCATGTGCCACCATGCCTGGGTAGGACCAGTTTTTTTGAAAAGCAGTGTAGCAGTATTTTTCCTTGAAAAGGGTATTCAAGATCTTGCCGGGTGTGGTGGCACACACCTGTAATCCCAGAAGCTCAGGAGGCTGAAGCGGGAGGATCACCAGTTCAAAGCCAGCCCCAGCAAAAGCGAGGCACCAAGCAACTCAGTGAGTCCCTGTCCTCTAAATAAAATACAAAATTGGGCTGGGGATGTGGTTCAGTGGTCAAGTGCCCCTGAGTTCAATCCCTGGTACCCCTCAAAAATTTTTTTAAATAAAAAAATGTAAAATCTCATTAATGTTTTATTTTGATTACTATATTTTAGACATATGGTGTTAAAATAAAATGTTAAGTTAGCTTCACTGTTTCTTTTTACATCTTTTGATATGCTTATTCGAAAGTTTTAAATCACTTCGTGGTTTGCATTTATGGTCCATGCTGTATTTGTAATAGCACTTTGTGGGGTTCATAGGAAATACCTAGGAAATCTGTTCAAAATGAAGATTGCCAGGACAGGGCTCCGAAGAATCTAGTTTAGTTCTCTGTTTTAGGCAGAGTTAACAGAAGCTCCTATAAAGCAACAGGAAGCATTTAGTTTATTGTTCCTGAATTTAATGTAAGAGTTTAATTCATCACGTTCTTCTTTCTCCTCTGCTTCCAATGCCTCATTCTGTTCATATGTCTCAGTATTGATCACTAAGAAAGGGAATCGTTTTGGCCTGGGTGGTCATCAGTGGCCCCTCTTTCATCAGAGCTTCTTGTATCAGGCTATCTTATAAGTCTCTGAAAAATTTATGGAGTTGTGACTGGCAGGGAGTGTGGAGGAGATGGATCCATCCAGAAATGATCTAGAAACTCTCCCTTCCACAGGAGTTGGGGGTGAGCCATCTTGGCTTAGAAAGGATTGTGGGAATGCCAGGTACAGATTGATCTGGCCAGAAGTAAACTAATTCAGAAATTGTAAAAGCTAGATGTATATGCAAAGGCCCCTGTGAGCGCTAGAGCCAAGATCTGTGCTCCATATAAAATTCAGCCAAGCCACTCTACGAGTGACCACAACAGATCCATCCACAAAAAAAAAAAAAAAAAAAAAACACATTTCAGCCACATCTAACAAGCAGTGTGCCAGATGGAACAAGGAATTTAAGTGGGAAGAGAGATACTGCAGAGGCAGATGAAGCAATGAAATACAGCCAAGCAATCAAAGTTCCTGCCAGCCTTAGTCTACTCACCTTTACAGGCCACAGAATGTCAGGGATTGTGAAGATTGAGTGGAATCAGAGACACAAAGTACTCCCTATCTTGGAAGATCACAAGTGGTGTGTTCTAGGTATGAGTTGTCACTAATTGCATGTTTACTAATGAAGAAGTGATCTCTCAGTAAATCGGCCTCTCCAGGGACCAAAATGGTTCTATTTCTTCCACCTTGTTCAAACACTGGTCATGTTAAGTCGTGGCTCCCACACTCTATGAGCAGTTGCCACTAGCCTTGGCTTTACCTGAAATATGCCTTTTGTGATTTACCTCCATACATCAAAATCTGCTATCAGGTCCGCAGGCCACGGAGAGTTGCACAGTTGAGAGAAATAGCCAATCAGGTCTGTGGCTAATGACAATTGTCGATTTCGTCTGATGGTAACTTTTCCCAATCACTGTCAGAATATTTATGATTTACAACATACATATCCCAACGATCAACCACAGCCTTTCTGTTTAAAGAATCTAAATGGTGAGAAAAACCATAAAAGAAAAAAATTTAGCTATCCTCTGTGGGCCCAGATTTTATTTCCATCTTGGGAAAAAACAAAACAAAACATAATTTTCTGAATGTTATGCCCCATTTCCTTTCCACACAATGAATGAATCCCCCCCCCCCCCCGCCTTGCCCCCAACACGTGCTCAGGAATGACTGAGGGTCTTTTTAATTCCCTTGCCTTCGTGGAGATTCTGCCATTTCTACAATACCAGTGACAACAGGAACGCATGATGGGCCCCCTTATTGGCAAACCTCGATGAAAAAACCACAGGGATTTCCGAGGCTTCAGGAAAAGGAGCTCTGCGTCTTTAAGCCTCCCCGCGCGGGGCGCCTGCTCTCAGCGACGCAGACGGGGCAGGCTCTGCCGCAGCGACTCATCCTATCGATAAGGTTCAGTTAGCCAAGGTGGAGGATGGGAAAAGAATGGAACTGTCCCAGCTCCTCAATGAGATCAGGGCAAACTATGAAAAGCTCCTCACCAGCAATCAGATAGAGACGGTGCTCTCAGCAAGGCTCCAGGTAATGATTTCATACAGACAGGCACCTCCCAGGATAAGGAGACAGTCCATGTCTACCCAATTCCTGTCCCGGCCTCTCTGAGGTACAGTATTTCCTTTTCAATGCAGCATATACTGGGGAAGGAGCGTAGGTTTTACTGCAGTGGGACTGGAATGACAGGGGGAAATACTGTGATTGCACTGTTAAATGACCATTCAATAAATGTTGATCGATGCATTTGATTTTTGTGATGAATGATATGAGGTTACGGTCATTAATAAAACATGAGGTCAACAAGCCATAAAACGGTGCCCTCTGACCTTCTTGGGATGTTCTTCAGGAAGGATGCATTTCCAATAACACTTCAAAGAAGAGTATGGAGTTATTTATAGAAATTATTCCAAGGATAGTCTTTTAAAGGATAGCTTTAGGAGTAAGAGTCGGTGGCGTGAATGCTTTCTGGAGATTAAAATGTTTCTAAAAGGTTTCTATGATCTTTTTAATGAGTTCGGTTTTATATTAGACTGTTATAAAGAGAAATCATCTGAGTAGGGAGCATGGCATTCAGAACCATTGATATAAACTCTGACAATCAAAATTTCCCAAATTTTGCTAAGGGACATTTAAGGGTATAGATTTTTTTGTTTTGTTTTGTTTTGCACTATCAGAAATGTTTATTTCCAATATGTTGGCATATTGCATGTGGCTTGAAATATGTATTTTAAAAAGAGAGAGAGCCAACTTAAAGGCTAAATCCAGATTTTACAAACTTACTTTTAAGATAACAATCACCTTTAGCAATTAATTAAGGTCTCAAGTCTTGAAACAAATATTCAAAAATTTGGAGATTTTGTTTCAGGGGTTTGTTTTGGTTTGTTTGATCATATCTGAGTTCAAATTCTATTTCAAACATCCAAATACATCAGAAAGTTTACTTACGAAGGTCACCAAAAGAGAAATAAATATTGCTAGGAAATCACAGGTCTTTATTCCATTAGCAACTCATTTTACTAATATAAATTTTACCTCTGGGTAACATTTTCAATCTTCATAAAGAATGATCATTACCTGAGTCTAAGCAAAGTCACTGAGAAACTTGATTTAAGTGTTAAAATAGTTTACTCACCTTTTACAATAAGAAGGCAAAAAAATATATTAGATGACAACTTCTTAAAATTATAAACCCAATAAGTAATTTGTTTTGCAAGAATGGAAAAAATATAAGTTTAGTTTGCAAGACTCAATGCTGAAATGAATAAATCTGAATAAAAAAGTAATTAAGTTTAGTTCAGTGTTTTAATATAAAAGTTTAAAGATTTTATTTCCCAAATTATTCAGGAAAGTCAGATGGAATGAGTTCAAAAAAAGCCTGATTATTTAATTATCACAAAATAAACACAAGATTCTGGGTTCATTCCAGGACAAAAAAAAAAAAAATCATAAAATAAAGAAACATAAGCTATTTGGTTACCAATCACTGTATAATAAGTCACCCCCAAAACTCAGTGGATTAAAATAGCCATGGCATTCTGTGTCATGATACTGTGGAGTGACAAGGCTCAGTTGGGGAATTCTTCTACCACATTCGGTGTTGACTGGGATGCAGTGCTCAGAGCGCACCTGGCCTGAAACCACCAACAGGGCCTGTTTATGTGTTTGTCACTTTGGCCTTCATTGTTAGATTGGCTCAAGTTAGGACAACTGAGCCTGTGTCTCACTCCACATAACTTCAGGGACTCTCTCCATCTGGCATATCTACATCTCTCCAACAGAGTATCCAAACTTGTAACATGATGGTCCTGGGCTCCCAGAGTATAGAAAGGGAAACTGTCAGTGCTTTTTATGCTTTAGCCCCAGAACTGGCCCAGTATCAATTCTGCCACCTTCTATCAGTTGAAGTGGGAATCTCACTACCTCCCAAGCTTAGCTGCTGATTCCATACTCAGAATCCAAAAGACCAGGGACATCAGCATTTTTAATGCTTTTACAGTTCCAAGTTTCTTCACGTTCTATTTGGTAGTTCTGTTTGGTATGTGTTCCTTGCTGTATGGACTTTGCCAAGTTGACTCTAAGAACAAGTAACCAGCAAACCAAAAGAAACATAATGAGTTGTGTCCTCTAATGCCTTGCCCTGAACTTTACTTGCAGCCTTTCATTTAGTCCGATTTCTTTTAAACAAAATCTATTGTACAAATTAACTTTTTTAGTTTTAAAATGTATTTTCATAAGAACATAAAAGTTGTCATTTTGGCTTCAAACTATTACAATCAATTTGATGTGTTGCTTTTACTGTTCTTGGGGCCAAATGTTGAGAATTCTGTTAAAAGACACTTTCTTGGGCTGGGGTTGGAGCTCAGTGGTTAAGCGCTTGGCACACATGCATGAGGCACTGGGTTCGATCCTTAGCACCACATTAAAATAAATAAATAAATAAATAATAAAGATATTGTGTTCATCTACAAATAAAAAAATATATTTTTAAAAAGACACTTTCTTTTAATTCCAATATCAGCACCAGAACATTTGAAATAAACTTTAATATGTCATTTTTATTACTACCCCAGATACCCCAAATTAAGATGCCTTCTAATCAGATCATTTTGAAAAAGGTAAATGAACAGTGGGTTTTCTTAATTCATAAATCTATTTAAGAACCTTAGTGCCTATGATAACTTAATCCTCTAATTAATAGTAATATATTTTCCAGTAATATTTACTCCCAGTTTGTACTCCTGGTCCCAGAACTGATCCCATTTGGGGATATATGGCTATGTATCTGCTTCTAAAAAACAGGCTACAAGGGGCTGGGGGTTGTGGCTCAGAGGCAGAGTGCTCGCCTAGCATATGTGAGGCACTGGGTTTGATCCTCAGCACCATGTAAAAATAAAATAAAGATATTGTGTCCTCCTACAACTGAAAAATAATTTTTTAAAAAAACAGGCTACAAGAAAATACATGGAAAATAATCATTAGTTTTCAATAGTTCTTCCTTAATGATCCATAAATAATGGAAAGTTAAGGAAAAGAGGTCAAAGATTTAACCCCTAAAAGAGGGGATGTTTTTTCATGAAATTTGATGTATTTTTCCATACTTCATAGACTGTATTCTATTCAGAAGGGACTTTTGAAATCACTTTATATCAGAGAAAGCTGAGGCTCCGCACGCAATAGACATCGTCACGTTATTTAATTAATTTGTAACTAATCACAAGACACACCTTGTTAATCTAACCATTAAAAGAAAAAATGATTTTGATTTCTGTACATTTTTTTTTTTTATCATTGCTTTTATCCGTTCCGTTTTCAAGAGCGCTCTTTGTCTTTGGTTGTTGTTGCCGTCGTTGGCTTTCTTCCAGCTAGAAGAAGATATCAGCAGAAAAATGGACAAAGATGAAGAGGCTTTGAAGGCAGCTCAAGCAGAACTCAAGGAGGCTCGACGCCAGTGGCACCACCTGCAAGTGGAAATCGAGTCTCTCCACGCCGTGGTGAGACCAGGGTCTGGAAGCAGCATCCCATGTCGGATTGAGACGGGGCAGAGGGGCTCAGCGAGGGTTCTTGCCCAGCATGCGCAGAAGAAGAAGGGAAAGGAATAATGCCCCTCACTTTACAGTGAGAAACTGAAAATCAAGGCTGCTCAGTTCTACCCTTGAGTGAGTTGATAACTGGCTGTTATCAACTCACTCAAAATTAGTTCACCCTGGGGCTCTCTAGAGGTCGAAATAGGGAATAGGGTGCTTATTAGCATCCAAAGTCCTACTAGTGAGCTTTTTAAATTCATGCCTTTGACATTTCTAATAGAAATATTGAAGCCTTTTCCTGAAATGCCTTGCATAAGCAATCTGCTCTGCCTTTGACATTGAATGTATTTTCAATACTTAAAGAAAAAATCAAATTACTCAGAGTGACAATAAGTTAATCACAATATAGAGGATTTCTTTTTGCCATAGGAATTATTACAGGATTTTTTTTGAAATATAATAAGCTCTCTAGTTATGTATATAAAATATAAATATGTTTTAGAAATTTGGAATGTACATGAAGCTGTAGGATAACATCTCTTGCATAAATGAGACATAATTAATGCAACTTAAAAAAATAAATAAGAATAGAATAATGGGGAGGGGCTTGGTGGTAGGAATTGCCTAACATGCACTAAGGCCTTGGGTTTGATTCCCTAGCTCCAAAAAAAAAAAAAAGAAAGAAAGTAAAGGAAAAAAAGCCACACACACACAATAGAATGAAGACATTGCAAATCAGATTTCAGAAACACATTTTGTGTCACTGATTCACTGATGAGCATCTCTATAAACAGGAAAGGGGCCTTGAAAACTCCCTGCACGCCAGTGAGCAGCATTACCAGATGCAGCTGCAAGATCTAGAGGCTGTGATTGAAGGACTAGAGAGAGAGCTACAGGAAGTCAGGCAGGGCATCGAAAGGCAGCTGCAAGAGCATGAGATGCTTCTCAACACGAAGATGAGACTGGAACAAGAAATAGCAACTTATCGCCGCCTCCTAGAAAAGGAAGAAATCAGGTACCTAATCTACATAGCTAGTGACAAGGGACCAGACATACAGAGCCACTTATGTCATTGTTGATATAGTCATAGAAATGAAACCTAAAATCAAAACCCATCATCACCTGGTATAGTCACTGAGTTCCTCCAGTAAAACAGGATTAATACATGCTGCAATGAATACATGGAAGAGCTATTTACAGCTTGCTAACACTAGGAACCCAAGAGCCAAAATCCGCCATTGAAAGGTCAAACAGAACAAAATGCAAACAATTCCTGATCAGTACTACTGTTCATCTCTTTTAATATTAATTCTATAAACCATCCACAAAGAAATTTTGGAAGTCACATATTATCACCACAACTCCACCCAAAGGGCCCACTCCCACAACACATTAAATACCAATAATAATAATAATAATAATAATAATAATAATAATAATGTAATTATAAGACAACCAAGGAAAGGAAAACTTTTTGGAGCCATGATTTAGAAGACTTCCAGATGTCCTGAGAGGAAAAGGCTCCAAAACAGGAATTCTTATTTATTCATACAATATCACTAATGAGGTCAAATATCTTTGAACATGGTATAACCTCCAATTCTCCATGTTCTCATAAAAATAAACCTTTAGCGGGATGTGGTGGCCACACCTGTAATCCCAGCAGCTCGAGAGGCTGAGGCAAGAGAACCACAAGTTCAAAGCCAGCCTCAACAACAGCAAGGAGCTAAGCAATTCAGTGAGACCCTGTCTCTAAATAAAACATAAAGTAGGGCTGGGGGTGTGGCTCAGTGATCTAGTGCCCTTCGGTTCATTTCCTGGTAACACCCACCCCCCCCCCCCCCCACAAAAAAAAAAAAAAAAAAAGGAGGAAATGTGGCGCAGTGGTGGAACACCCTAGGGTTTTATTCCCAGTACAAAAAAAAAAAAAAAAAGATGAAGAAATCTTTGTTCCTGCTTGTTCAGAATTCTGATTCCTCTATAAAACTAGATGAAACAACTTTGGCCCATAAGTTTTGACATTTATTTAATCCTTCAAAAAGCATTAATGAGCTCAGAAATATATTGCTAACTAGCAGTATGACTTCGAGGAAGTTACTTAATCTGTGCTTTAGTTTTCTCATCTGTAAAATGAGAATAATACCTACTTTATAGGATTTCTGTGAGGATTAAATGAGTTCATGTGTGTCAAGTGCTTAACTGGCACACTGTAAGTGCTAATGTAGATAGAGATAGACAGAGTTTTATATAAAGTTTTATACACATATAAGCAATAATACATATGTTGTTAGGTAAAAAGAACAGTTTTGAATTTTATTTAAGTCCTAATCATTCAAGATGTTGCCAAATTGCTCTTTAGTATTTATTTCTATAATGTGATTTTCTAAAATTTAATCATTCTAGCTAAGCACAGTGCACATTCAGGTAATCCTAGCTATCAGGAGGCTACAACAGGAGGATGGCAAGTTTCAGGCCAGACTCCTCAACTCTGAGACAGGGTCTCAAGTTCAAAGCCAGCCTCAGCAACAGCAAGGCGCTAAGCAACTCAGTTTTTTGAAATAATAATGATTTTTTTAAGTGATGGGGGTGTAGCTCAGCCATAGAGCTCTTGCCTAGCATATTTAAGCCTTTGGATCAATCTCTAGTGCCAAAATCTTTAATGCTATACTTAAGATGTACCAAAAAAATCAAGAAAAGTATAATGAACACCCATGTACTACTTCCCCCAGTTTAAGAAGTATTTCCAATGTTGTTGCAGTTCCCTGGACACCTACACCATATCCCCCAATCTCATCCTCTCCCCTCTGCTTATCCTGATTCCTGAATTTGATGCTTATTAGTCTCATATATTCCTTTATAATAATTCGTTTGTATCCCTAAACAAAGTATGAAATTGTTTTACATGTTATTTTGATCTTTATAAAATTAGTTGCATTTTTTCTTTTTTCATGCAACATTATGCTTAGGAGATTCATCCACAGAGATACAGTATAGCCTTCATTCACTTATTTTCATGGTCATATATTGCATTCATTGTATGATATACAATTTATCCACTTTCCTATTTGTTTCAATTACTTGTTAACACAGTGTTGCTCCTATAATACAGTTCTTTCCAATTTCAGATATTATGGTTGTATCCAAGGTGGGAAAAAAGATCAAAAACCTACCACCAGTAAAGTTGGTTTTGTTTTACCTTCAGGTGAGTTTCTTATATAAATAAACTAAGTTGAAAAGTAAGGTGCTATGTATAGGGATTATAATGAAATTAAATACTCCAAAGTAACAAAAGCAAGTAATATTTTAATAAAACTATTAATTTAATTGTGAATAGTATGTTAACATTGTAATTTAATGTCATAAATAACATTTTTACAGCCATTATAAATGAAATATCTTTTTCAACAAAACTCTCACAAAAGTATGAGGATGAAAAAGTGGAAACAGTGACCAAACAGGCAATATTAAATGGAAATATTGTGAAGGAAAGCACTGAAGCTCATGGCACTATTCAGTAAGTAAAATAACTTTCATGAAGAAATAATAATAAACATATGTAAAAAAATTAACTTCCATCAAACAATCCCAGCAATTAATCTTATTTTAATGTTTCTAAACATACTTTTAATATCCTAAGATTTTTAACTGTACATAAATACAGTATATAAAGACTTCTTTGTACATAATATGTACATAAAAACTCAGATGAGCTGGGTGTGGTGGCACATGCCTCCAGCAACTTGGGAGGCTGAGGCCAGCCTCAGCAGCAATGCCTAAGCAATTTAGTGAAAACTTGCCTCAAAATTTAAAAAAAGGGCGGGGGGGGGGGGGGGGGGGGGGGGGGTAGCTCAGTAAAACACCTCTACATTCAATCCCCAGTAAAAAAAAAAAAACCCTCAGAGATAAAAGAGTATGCAATCAATTCACCATTTCTTTTCAAAAAATATACAAATTACTTGATTTCTTTTTCATAGTATGGAATACATATTATATATATATATGTTTGTATATTCATACTTCTTCCTATAGAATGGTTCACTTTATCATTTCAGGACAGAGAAAGTGGATGAAGTTATTAAAGAATGGGAAGGTTCCTTCTTTAAAGATAACCCTCGATTAAGGAAAAAATCTGTTTCTCTTCGGTTTGATCTTCATTTAGCAGCCACTGATGAAGGCTGCTTACAGACTAAGCAGGATAATCTGCCAGACATAGAAGTCAGGCTCATCATGAGACGATCATGCAGCATCCCCTCTATCAAACCTCCGTCAGCAACTAGTTAATCCAATGATTTGAATTAACATTTGATTTGCAAATGATACTAGGATGGACCAGGGTGTGCCATGCTAACCCCTTCTGTCCTAAAATGTAAGTTATTAAGTGTATATGGAAAATGTTATGATTCATGTGTGATTGTGATTCTCTTCAGAAGAGCACACACACACATTAAGGGGAAAAAATTTCTGAATCCATTTATGGGTATGCTTTTTAGAGAGGGAGAACCTAAAAATAAAATCAGAAATTCAGTTTGGGTTCTATTTTATTTATTCTCTAAAGTCTTCTCTTTCCCTGGAAATTTTATTAGAGATTGTTTGAGTGTTTACTTGGCTTAGTTAAGTCTGTAATGTCATTCAATGGCAGAAAACTGTAAGGAAAAAAGAATAATTGGTTTAAAGATGACTGTATTATGTAAAGGGTCACACTGAGTTATTCATTGTTATTCTATGTCTGGCTAAAACAAAAAAGGTTGTTCTAATTTAAAAAATATATATATATAAGCAGACTTCTAAGGGGAGGCTCACTAGTCACTTCAGATTTTTCCTTTTGAGACAATCATTTGGACACTTAAAAAAATAAGAAAAGTTATTTTCCGTGAGCAGTTTTGAGAAAACTATAGAATGTACCACAAGGCTATTTTGATGACTGAATAAAATTAATTTCTACATCTGAATTTTTTTGTAATCAGGATTGACTTTCAGAAGAGTTACTTTATTAAAAGGACTTTAAGGGTTTGGTCCTTTCACCAAAAAAGAAAAGAAAAGAAAAAGAAAAAAAATTCAGAAGGTTTATTGTACAAAGCATGAAAAACAACTTGAAAAGGTGATTCCTGAAGTTACTAGAACAGTCACCCAACCTCTCATCTCAAATTTTACAACCATAAAGTTAAATGGGATTCAAGAGTTTGCTCTGAGCCTTAGAGACGATACTATACGATGTAATATAAATTTCTTGCAGTAATTTATGTGAACTAAGATAACAATATTGTTATCTAAGGTAAAAGTGTTTATAGGATTTGTTTTTAAATTGTTCAAACTGTCATAAATATGAATAGAAAATATATTTGTGAAAGTGAAGTATCATTGCAAAGTTTTTTAAACAACCTAAATTGTTTGATACAGGTATATTTATTAAGTCCTTAACTAATAAATACCTGTTTTAAAACATTAGAAATTTATAGGCTATTAATTTTTTTCTAAGCAGAAAAAAAATGGTTGAATACAACTGACAGATGTTTTTCCAGCTAAAGTATCGTGTAAGGGCTACAGCTATGTTAGCATTTTAGTACAATCTTTAAAATCAATCTCTCTCTCTCTCTCTCTCTCCATTAATATATATGTATGTATATGTGTATATATATTTATATATATATATATCAGTAAAATGTGTTTTAAACAGAAGAAAATTATGTTAAATAATCTTTTAATCTTTAACATAATACAGAGATACATTTTAAATTTTCTTTCGACAACTTCGGATCCTTTTAGCCTGTCTTATTCTATTTAGTGAAAAGAGGTTTTTTTGTTATTGTTCTGTTTTGTTTGTTTGTTTGTTTTGTCAAGACTACAACAGCATGTTAAGTGCTCATTCTTGCATAAGCATCTGACCTAAAACTCACCCTAAACATAAAAATGTTTCATTTGGGCTGGAGTGTAACTCAGTGGTAGAGTGCTTACCTAGCATAGGGGAGGCCCTGAGTTTAATCCCCAGCAGGACAAAAAAAAAAAAAAAAAAAGTTTCATTCAATATTAGTTAATGTTATAAACTTTACTAAAGCTTTAAAAATGCAATCATATAATGTATTGTACTGAAGTTACTATACTAAGCAACAGTGACCATAATAAGCAATATACCTAGTATAATCTATTGCAGTGTTAAAACCTTAGTACTGGGCATTATGAATGTAACTGTAACTGCTTGCTATAGTAATTCTCCTATGCAACTAAATTGTGTGTATAACACGTACATTTTAAAAATACAGTATTTGTATTTATAATAAAGTTTTATTTGCTTTGAGGCCTTTTAAAATCGGGATATGAATTTACCAAAGTAAATGATACCACTCACAATAAAAAATATTGAAACATGAACTCCAAAGCTGCCTTGTATTGAGTTTGATACATCCTTCTTTTAATTCAAAGATACTTCTACATGATTAAGCAAAATAAAGAGAGTGCACTCACTTGGGGAATAAAGAAAACTGGAATCATAGAAGATAGATAATGGTTTTTAACTTGTTTTACAGAAGATAAATTAAGAATAGTATGCTGATATTTTATGCTAAGAAAAAAATCAAAATAGTCACACAATTCTGGGGAAAATATAATAACAGTAGCCACAATTTTTAAGGTGTTTATCCTCAAATCCAGGTATTGTGTTCAGCAGAGTCATTCGCAGTCCCTCATCCTTAAAACAATCCTACAAAATAATACTACCCTTGTTTTATAAATGAATAGAAATTAATATTCCTCAATCTCTCAGAAATCTTTCAAATGCATGTTTCCATAATGAAATGCAAAAATAAAGAGTAATTCCAGCTACTTAACAATTGTAGGATCCTGGCCCTGGCTCTGACACTAACAATGTAAGAGGAGTGTCCATGCTAAATTCCCTACGTCTCAGTTTTCACACTTGAAAATCAGGAAAAAAGGTGATGCTTAGTAATAATCTCTATCCTGACTGCCTCACAGTTATTTGAATTAATATACACATGAAAATATTTGGTAAAGCACTGCTCAAATGTCAAGTACCATTTGAACAAAAGTTGGTTCTGCTAGTAAAGAATTTGTGAGGAAATTATAGCTGACAAAAAAATTAAGTAATAGTTTAAAACACTATCAATAAAGATAATATTTTTGAATCTTTGCTTCCAAAAGGATTATTCTTTCCAAGTAAGTTACCCAATTTGAACTGTTTCAACTATGATAGTTTTTAAAATACAAAAATGTACTGTGGGGGCTGGGGATGTGGCTCAAGCGGTAACGCACTCGCCTGGCATGCGTGCAGCCCGGGTTCGATCCTCAGCACCACATACAAAAGAACATGTTGTATCTGCCGAAAACTAAAAGTAATTAAATAAATATTTTTTTAAAAAAATGTACTGTGAAGATTGTGAATGATTATTATATTATTTTAAGCCACTAAGTTTTGGGATAATTTGTTACGCAATAATGTACAAGTAATACTGCATATAAGCATTTTGCTTATTGATAGAAATTTTTATAGTGTCAAAGTTTATAGTTTTCCCTTCAATTTGTTTTCTTAACATGGGTTTTTACATTTTTTTAAAAAAAACTCTTAAGTAAAAAATGATTAAATTAGTTTGAAAGTTTCAAACGGAAACATATTATGGCACAGGGTCTAAAATTAAATTTCAAATTGCATATATATACACATGACACAAATTATCAGCACATGAAATCAAAGGAAAGTTTGTTCAAAGAGCAGAATTTGGTTCTATGTTTATGAGGATATAGCCGGCATGTACACACAGGTTGCCAGTCAATATTCATGGATACACTGCAAATAAAGATTTTGAAATGAGATTATATATACACATATATATTATATATATACACACATACACACACACACACACGTGTGTGTGTGTGTGTCTTAATACGAGACTTTCCAAGTTGTCCTCACACACTTAAGACTCTAGGCCAGGGTTGCTGTAAATTTTCTGTAGAATATCAGATCACAAAGATTTTGGGCTTCTCTGGTCAGAAGATCCCGTAGCAACTCTGCCCTCAAAGCTGCAATCATCCATAGACAATATATGCAAATGATGGGTGTAGCTGTATCCAAATAAAATTTTATTTGCAACCTAGGTTTGGCCTAAAGTGATAGTTTGTCAACCCTGGTTAGGGTTGAGTGGTAGAATGCTTGCCTAGCATGTAGTAGGCCCTGGTTTGAACCCAGGACTGGGGGGGTGGGGAGCACCATTTTGCCAACCCTGGCCTAGACCCTCAAAGCAATCAATTGATAATGGCCACATAGCCCAGATTCTCCAGTACCATCCTGTTTTCAAATATTTTCATCCTTTTACACAACATGAGCCAAATCTCATGTCCCAAATCATCAAGGTTATTTTGAGGCCAACACAGAGGTTGTAAAAGCAATCATACTTTGTCAAAATCTATAAAAGTGTGAATCGCTCTGTCTTGGAAATCTGCTAGGCTTCAGTATTTCACAATTATTTATAGCAATAGAAACTGAATGCCCATGGTAGATCTGTCTGCTTTCACAGAAACAGCTGAGCAAAACTGTCTGTTTTACCTTTTTACCTATAACTAGACTTTTATGGACTATTTGACACAGGTAAAGCTCTGTTCTCCCTTTCCCTATTTTTAGGGAAAGAGTCCATTTAAAACACTACATCAGAGTTGGGCACAGTAGTACATGCCAGTAATCCCAGCTACTTGGAAGGCTGAGACAGGAAAAAAATCACAAGTTTGAAGCCAGCCTCAGCAACTTAGTAAGACCATGTCTCAAATAAATAAATAAGGACTGGAGATGTAGTTCAGTGACTGAGAGCCCCTGGGTTCATTCCCCAGTACTACCAAAAAAAAAAAAAAACTCCATCAGAACATATTAAATACAAATTCCATGTCATAGTGGTTAATTCAACATCCTTCTCAGTCACAGTCCTCTTTGAAAATCTGATGAATTTATTAATCCTCTATCTGGAAAAAGCACACAAAAATCATACACAATTTTAAAGGGTTCATAGACCTCCTAGAGCTTACTCATGGACTATGAGGTATCCAAGGACTGCAGGTTTCTCCTTGTTTTCTCCCACTTCCTTTTTCTTTCTTCCTGCCTAGCCACAGTCCTTTCTTCTCCTAATTCTCTCTCCCTCACCAGCTTCTTCCCACAGTACTATGGAAAGAACTCAAAGACCTGGGCTAGAATCCCAGCTTAATTACTTATTGGTTTTAGCTTCCCTGACTTGGGGAAAGTGTGAGTGGTATCAGAGAGGAAAGCAGGACAAGTGCCTGGATCTTGCTGCCAGAATGAAAACTAAAGTGCTCAGGCCTAAAACTATAGGCTCATGGGAGGGCTCCCAACCTTTGTCATTATGTATGGTAACAGTCATGTTAATACTGCATCCCATATTTTCCAGGAATAGTCACATTTCCAAACATGGATACTATAGTTTGCATAAATATCCTTATTGCATGTAAGATCACATGTTCTATTCTTTGTTTTGGAGAAAATAAACTGTGCAAGTAGAGCAGACATTTCCATGTTGGATATTTCACCCATAGGTTTTGGTATATTGAACACTAGGGAGGATTTTTTTCTATTATCTTTTGCCTATATTCTTCCTTTTTAAATTTTTCAAATCTTAAGGAACAGAGGAAGAACCAAAGAAGGAAAATGAGATAGTCATTCATTTATTTATTCCACAAATAACAAGCACCTTCCCATACTATGCACTGTTCAAAATTACAAAAGTTCCCATCCTCAGCCAGCTTTCATTCTGATAGGAAGCAAAAGACAACAGACTCAATAAATGTATAGATACTGTAGTATGTTTTGTGCTAAGTGCCAAAAAATAAAATAAAAAATGGTCCATGAATAAAGAGAGGTGTTGGGGAATGACTTGTGATTTTTAAGTAGGGGTTGTGGCTCAGCGGTAGAGTGCTTGCCTAGCACATGTGAGGCACTGGATTCAATCCCCAGCACCACATTAAAAAAATATATATATGGGCTGGGGTTGTGGCTCAGGGGTAGAGTGCTTGCTTCGCATTCATGAGGCACTGGGTTTAATCCTCAGCACAACATAAAAATAAAAAATAAAGATATTGTGTCCACCTAAAACTAAAAAATGATTTTAAAAAAACACTAAATAAAGGTATTATGTCCTTCTACAACTAAAAAAAAATATTTAAAAGACTTACTATAAAGGTAACCTTTTGAGTAAAAACCCTATGAGAGGAGCTAGGGGTGTAGCTAACCTGGAGAACATATGCTTAGCACATTTGAGGCTCTGGGTTCAAAACACACACACACACACACACACACACAGTGTATCAAACAAACAATATTACTGCTCCACTCAGATCCCTTTTCAACATTTTTGTGCCACTCCAATCTACTACAGTGTGCTTTTCCTAGCATCCAATACTTGTGGCTTGTCTTCAGAGAACTTCCTAGAAGATGACACAGCATTAGCATCTCCTCAGCACTGGGCTTGCCCAGCTCCCCCCACTCCACCCGTTAACCCCATAACCCCAAAGAAGAAACCATGCTGGAGTTGCTGAGCAAGGTCAGAGTAAAAAGATATTGGATCCCTGCTGAGGCTTCCTGTATCCTACATTCACTCTTTACTTGTTTTTACATTTAAAAGGCAATTTCATGTTCATTATCTTTAGCACCACTCAAGCTACCTGTTATCATTTGATGATCTCTCATTCAGTATTTTCCTTCAATATGTGCTTCCATTTCATTAATCTTTATTCAGGGGGATAAAAAATATTGGTAGTGGAGGAACTGGGTAGAATATCACTTGTGGGGCTGGGGATGTGGCTCAAGCGGTAGCGCGCTCGCCTGGCATGCGTGCGGCCCGGGTTCGATCCTCAGCACCACATACAAAGATGTTGTGTCCGCTGAGAACTAAAAAAAATAAATATTAAAATTCTCAAAAAAAAAAAAAAAAAAAAGAATATCACTTGTGGCTGTTTTTTTTTTTTTTTTTTTCTTTCAGATTTCTAGAGATGCCCCGGCAGGTACAACAAGGATGGAGCCTAAGGGCAGCCCAAGAATTCCACCAGTCTCTCTAAATGTCAACACTGTTCTCAGGTAACTACAGGTCAAAGACCCCATCATCTGTTCATTCCCCCTCCAGTGGCCCACATCAGCCAGGTGTTTATATACTCCATATGGTAAAGTACAATATACCAAAGTATAAAAGTGCATATAGCCAAGTGCCACTGATTTAATGAAAAGAGCTGGAACAGGCCCAAAGGCTGCTTCAACACATATTTTATGAACATCTAATCATGAGTTAAATCGTTAGTAAGCACTGGCAATAAGAAGATGACCAGTGCACATGCCTGAACCTTTGCTTTCAAGTCTTCGTGATGTATTTGCGATGGCAAACACAGTCCGACACGAAAGCTATCAGATACAGGACTGCAATAATAGTTATGACTCAGGAGCCTCGGGGAGCCCAAAGGAAGAATTATTGGGGGAAAGTTCCAGAAGACAGCATAAGAAACCCTGGAGCCAAACAAAGTGGGGACCTTAGTCCTTGAGAGGGAGCTGAATGCACCAAGGACACTCAACCTGGAGCGAGGGGATGGACGTTTCTGGGCCTTGGCTGGGAAATCTGGAGCAATTACATTCTAAAAGCGATTAGGAAACTGCAAAACTCCGTGTTGCTTTTCGCCAAGGCTATAACCTGGCCGTTAAGGCAGGACGCCCTGAGAGCCGCCAGTGGGGACCCAAACGCGGGACCCGAATCCTCAGCGCCTCCCTCCTCGGCTTACTAAACTACAGTGTGGACCGGGACTCAGAGACCAGAGCAACGGGAAAGCACGGCGGTGAGGAAGCCGCGCTCCCAGGCAGAGCCCCGCGCAGAAGCTGGGCCTCGGAGCCCACCACCCGGGCCCTGGTGCACCTCCGCCGCCACCCCCACGCCGCGGCCGCCCCCGCCGCCCGGGGCTGCGAACCAGCGCCCAGCGGGCGGTCGGGCCACCCCGCCCTCTTCGCCGTGACGAATCGGCTCCGGGCTGGGACACTATCCAAACTCGAGGAGTTCTGAGGAAGCTGTGTGGACTGAAAAAAATCCTTGACTATACCAAGCATCACCGCATCGTGATCAGAGGGTTATTTTCCTAAAGAGAGCCGGGCGCGGCCCGGAGAGAAATCGAACGGAGTGTTGAAAGTGCGAGCGCGGAAGCTCCGGCGCGAGGGGCGGGGCGAGTGCGGGACAAAGGGAAGCGAAGCCGGAGCTGCGGGCGCTTTTTCGGCCCGCGGGTGAGTGTTTCCAAGTGGGCCCGACCCGGTCGGGAGGGTGGCAAGCCGCGGTGTCCCCGCTTGGCTGGACCCCGAGTTCCCGCGGGTTGCTGGGGTGCAGGTCTGGCCGTGGGGCCGGAGCTGGGGGCCGTGCGGCCTCCTTGCGGCCTAGCGGCGCGAGGGTCGGGAGGAAGTCCCTCCGCCGCCCCTCCTCCCAAGCAAGATTTGTCCCCTCCGCTAGTCCCCCGAAATGGATCTAAGCGCCTGTGCACACCCCCCTTTTACGGGAGTTGCCAGTACAGTGGATCCTCCACGACAAACTTAGGAAGCGACCTCAGAGGAAGCCTTTGGAACGAGGCAAGCCGGTGGTCCGCACCCCCAAGAAAGTGGTGCCCCTTTTTGTTCGGGTAGAGACCTGAGGACTCACTGTGTGGCTTGGAGAGAGGAGCGAAGGCTCTGAAACCGTGTGGCCTGGGTTTGAAATCCTGCTCTGGCACTTCCTGGCCATATGGCTCTGGACAAGTTACTTGAAACTCTGAGAACTCCCCTTTTCATCTGTAAAATGGGGGCAGCAGTCTATTCTTGTTGTGACTGGGTGAGCAAGATCATGTAATAACCTGTTCTGTATAAGGTAACTATTCAACAACTAGAGAATCTGTTTTATGCCAGGTACCAGGTAATACCCAATGTAGACAAGTGTACAGGCCCACTCTTTGCATTCTAAAAAAGGAAAGCAATCATTTAATAGTATTAACAGTGAAGTGTAATGCACAGGGAGCTTGTGGCAATTTTTGTCTGAGCTCCCCACAGCAAGGTCTACTGCATGTTGACAGCTTCCCTATTGTGACCAAGGAGGAGAACCGCATGAGAGTAAAAGGCTTCTGCCTATTCTTTAAGAAAAGAGGGAGAGACCCAGGACGGACCATTGAGAAAATAAACTATTCCCACACCAGGACTCTTATTCCTGGTAGTCAGGAGTTTTCTTAAAATGCAAAATGGAAGCAGAAAATTGTTTTATTTTATATAATGTTGGATGAAAGTACTTCAGTAGTCAGAAATGTACTTGCCTTTCTAAAAATGAATTTCTCTCTCTTTACACCTTACTGTTTGTGATGTATATTGATTTAAGGAATAAATTCACATGTGTCTGTTCATGTGATGAGCTCTTAACACTTCGACAAGTTTTATTAAGAACAGAGCAAGTTATTGGGAAATACAGTAATGAATTAGATGATCCCTGTTCCCTAGTAATACCCAATCTAGCCAGATTGACAGATGTTTGGTGTGTTTTTTTAAGTTATAAGAAACAGTATCATAGACCTTTGTAGTAGATAGGAATACAGATGAGGGAGTAATTAATTCTGCCCAGGTAATTTGTCAAGAAATTGCCATTGAAGAGATAATTTTGAAAGGGGCTGTGAAGGATAAGAGTTCTCAGGTAGACTCTCAAAATTTATTCCCAGCACTTTTGGAACTATTTACCAATAGAAGGAAAGGAGAAGTTCATCATCATACCCAGTTTCCCTTTATACTGCCTGCAGGAATAAAATGCTCCTCTATTTCAACAGAAGTTCTCATCCCAAAAGCAAGGTAACTGATCAGGGAGCTGTCAGTATCTGGTAGGCCTTGTTGGGGTCACCCTGATAATACATCACATTCTATTGTCATTATTTTTTTTATCAGTCTAAGTAAACGTTTACATGGCATCAGCAAAATGTTTTCCATACAAGATGTGGCTTGGTATCATAAGCAAAACCCTAAAAATACATTTCTAATATTATTCTAAATATCCCGGTAACTTAGTCATTTAATTCTGATCATCCAAATGACCTACAAGAAGTAGTTAAAATATGCAAAAGACTTGATTACTAGCAGATAATAGTGAAGTGATTTTACTCAGAAATACCAATTAAACTACCCTATTCTTTAGGAAAACATTCTCTTATGCTTGCTGAGTTTTGATTCTCTTTTTTTTTCCTTTTTTTTTTCTTTTTTTTTATTTTAGTGTCTCAGATTCATTCTTAAGGAACTGAGAACTTAATCTTCCAAAATGTCAAGTAAGTTTCAATTTTTATATTTATCAATCTATGTTAATAAGAGACTAATGCCCTAGCAAATGGGAATTCCAAAATACTCTCATTTTTTTTTTCTTCAAAACAGGACCATTGGTAGTTTTGTTGCATAGTATTATATCTCAGTTGTTTACAAGAAGTTATTTATTTTCTTTCAAACAGAAAGACCATCTTATGCCCCACCTCCCACCCCAGCTCCTGCAACAGTAAGTTTTAATTTTCTTGTTAATGTAATAGCCAAGTCTGGCCTTGATACAAAAACCCAGATGTCTTCCAGTGACAGTCACTCAATCATCACAGCCACAGGATGAAAAATTCAGCTAAAAAACAGCACTTCCTACTAAATAAAATAACTTTGCATCTTAACTTGAACCAACCCCAACATTTAAAAAAAAAAAAAAAAACTTTGAAATTCCAATCAAACTCCTATGCTCTTTTTTTTTTTTTTTAATTGGAACTAAATGACAAGTTTAACACTTCTTTTCTCGTCAATCTTCGCTATTAAGAGTCTTTTAAGTTGATATTGAGTGAATGCTCATTCTGGCATTATTTATTTTTTTAAACCTAACCTTCAAATGGTTACATTTTTCTCTCTTGTCTATATATAAAATTTTCATATTAAATCAAACAGTAAAACTTCTAGGTCTATAACTACACTAATTGTAATTCTTTATTTTCAAGCTGTTCAAGTAAGGATTTCATTATCTGTGGGTCAGATCTTGCTGCTGAATTCTCCATAAATTATGTTTTATTGGTTTCTGAATTGATAATGTTTCACAGTGTCTAAATAATAGTTGTGAACTGCTTTTTGTATCCAGCAAACTGACCCAGCTTGATCAGCATGTAAAATAATTGTCCAGCCCACAAAACTGATTTAACAGTAACTGTTCAGGCCTTGCTGAAATGGCTTCCTTGTTGGTTTTTTGCGGGGGTTTTTTTTTTGTTGTTGTTGTTTTGTTTTTTAAAAAACACTGTTAACATGACCATATCCTACAAAATCAGTTCTTTAATAGCCGCCAGATTTTCCTTCCATACCCCCCCACCACCTAAATTTCAGGCTAGTGTACTTTTTACTACTAATTAGGTCCTTGTATAATTTTTTTTCTCCACTAGATAACTAGTCATATTTACTAATCCTCAGATATACGTTTTAGTTACGTTTATCAACAGTTTGTTTTTCTTTAGTAAGATGCTTTTAAAAAGAGAAACTGTATCATATTTTCTCAGTTCTATTTATATAATATGCAGTCTCTAAAGTTAGTTCCAGTAGACCTGAAAGTCCTGTTTGGTTCATTTTCTTTCTTAAATCAAAGAACATTTCTTACCACTATCTCCATGACACTCTCCTAGTGGCTATACAGGTGGAGTTGAACAATGGAGATTCTGACCTCAAAGAGCTAACCATGTACTTCAGCTTTGGAAATGGTATAATTATGTTTTAGTTTCAATTTTTTTAGTTCCCTTATTTTTCTTACATTATTGCCTCCTAATGTTAAACAGTGATTCTCATTGTATATGCAACCTCTGAAGGTGTCATTTTGATGTAAATACTGCCTCCAACAATGTATAATTATCTTGAGAACAAACTTGATATTTTTGAGATTAAAATGTTTCAAAAACCAAGTACCCCTTCTGACTTCTCATATGTAGAAAGGGTTTTTTTTTCCTTTGCCTTTCTTTAGTCATATTTCTGTATCATAATTTCACATTAACACATAAAATATAGAAGACTAGAGATTAAAACATCCAACAGAATGGATATTAAATGAATTATTTTCCTTCTTTTCTTTTTTTATTTTTTTTGGTTCCATTACTTCTACCACCACCATCACCACCACCACCTCCACCACCACCACCACTACCACCTTCACCACCACTACTACCACTCAAATATACCACTCCAAGTAATATACACTTCTTTTGTGCGTTTGATACTTCATCTGTGTTTTGCCTACTTAAATATGTCTAATTTGCGTCTTTAACTATATAGGCTAGAAATTGATCAGCTCTCTTTTCTCCTAAAAAGTATCAAATGTACTATCTGCTTGAATGTCTATTAGACACTAAGGATATGTATAGTGGCATGTTTTAGAAAATTGTGTTTGTTATGTAACAACTAAAGCTTAGTTGGGATGTCTTAAATGTATTTTACATTATACAATTCAGGAGTGATACTGTTAATTGCATGTAAAAATGAAATTAATGTCACTTTTTTGATTGAGTTTCATTAGGAAAAAACCCTACTTTAGTCCTCTCCTTGCTATATTCTTTTTATGCATTATGCCTTAATTTTCATGAACATTGGATGTCATGGTATTAATTAATTTGTGATTATATCAACACAAAAGTCACAAAACCCAAGAATCCTGTTGCAGCGAGCAGTTGTGTTTTGAAAGGGTGAGAGCTTTCAGAAAAATAGATGAAAAAAAGAAAGTTCACGTCTGTCAACTAGAAAAGTAGTTCTCATTAACACTAAATGCAGAAATTGTTAATAATTGACCTATGGAAGATGGATCAAAGAAGAGATGGAAGAGAAAGCCCTAAAAAGAATCATTGGGTTAAAGATCAGATAGTACCCCAGAATGAAATCCATGCATTTCTTACAAGTCTTTGTTTTGAAGTCATGTATGTGACATCCATTGAATCCAACATATGTTCTTTTCTATTGACAACTCCTGGCTTCCTGGTTTGAGTCTCTTCTCATTTCTCACATTATATAAAATAATTCAAAATTGTCTTGAAAAGCAGATCCATTTCTTGTTTTTATTTGTTTTTAGTAGATGAATACATTGGTTGGCATCCACATAACTGTCAAGTAAATTGTGTTTTGTTTTGCATGTAGTGTTTTCAGATTTCTAGGTTATCACACTTCAAGCCTTCCTATTTGAGACATGATATATATTGCTAAATTGCTTTATGGTACTATTGACTATAAAATAATCCTGAATGTTTGAAACACATCAGTGTATTGCTTACCTCAGAAAGCAAGCCACACATTCACATTCTCACAAACACCCCCCGGCCCCTGCCAAAAGAAAGAAAAAAGCAATAGCAACACTTACAACTGGTTTCTCAATGAAAGAAAATTTTAATTTCCTCAATAAAAGAAAAAGAACATTTACAACACATCATTGCTTGTTTAAATTCAGGTTGCTTTTGCATGCCATATGCAGATCATTTTTCATTTCTGTGTTTTCCTCGTTTGAGCTCATTTCTCATTCGTGTTTTTGTCTCATTTGTTTCCATCAGCAAATGCCCAGCACACCAGGGTTTGTGGGATACAATCCATACAGTCATCTCGCCTACAACAACTACAGGCTGGGAGGGAACCCGGGCACCAACAGCCGGGTCACGGTAGGAGAATCAACTATTACAGCCTCCAGCAAACCACTGGAATTGACCAGAAATGCCTCCAGAGTTAGGTCCTTCTATAAGCACAGCCACTTAAAAAAACTTTAATTTGGCTTTTCAACTATTTAAACATTATTTAAACAGTTTTACACTGGGGGAAAAAATAGTGAGATCTGGATGGATATGTATATGGAAGAAAAGAAAAATCCATTCTGTTTGGTGGTCAGTAAGGATAAAACCTTGGGCACTTAATGCTTATACTATTGGAGACAAACTGAGAATTTCCTATGGTTAAAATACCCTTTTGGAGATGAAGAGTTTTTTCCATTTTTCTAAGGTAATTGGCATTAGTCTCAAGAACTTTGTTTCTTACTAAGTGCTAGTCTTTCACACCTGGTATTTTCAGGGCTGGAAAGCTTTTGGCTGGCCTTGCCCATAAGAACTGCTACACATGATAATTTGTCTTTTGGATTTAATTGTCAGCCTTCTAATTGAGACTCATTTCTCTACAGTTGAAAAGAAAAAAGACCTTTTAGTATCACTCCAAAAAATTTGCAAAATAGAAGTTGAATGAAATTGAAGTATCAAACTAAATATGTACAGTTAGGTGTATATTTCTAATCAATAGTACAGGGATGTGATTTCTAAAACTTAGGATGTTTATTTAAGTGGTCAACCTAAGATAATCAAATATATTTCAAAGTTTGAAATTGGTAGTAAATTACAGTAAATCCAAAAGTCAAATACTTACATACACTGGAATCTCTGGTGTTGATGAGAATATATACAATGCAAAATGGCTGTAAATTTTTAATACTTGGTTTTTATTTGCTGTATTCATAAGTAATAAATAAATGCCTTCAAATTAATGTAACTACCCTCTCACCCTGTAGTCAAACTATAGCTGAAAGCTTGTAACTATCAAACTATATGTCTATCTTGGTAAGCACATTGCTTATCTTGATAGGTTTTGTTTGTCTAAATTTTTCATTGTTTTTACATAATTTGTACTTCATAAGCATATCAAGTTTTATGTGCCATGTGTATTTCATGGTATCTGAAAAGAATTCTGACAAAGTGTGTTTATGTATGCATTTCACAATGCATACAATTTTTATGTGCATCAGTACATGTTTTCCCCTGGCCTAAATGTATGGTTTCACAAGTATAATGGATGATAGGGAACATTTTAATTTAAACACTGAATGGAGTCAATTTTGGATTATTCATGTTAATGCAGAAATTTATTCATGGGCAATAAATAGTAGAATGATTATGTTTAATAGCTCTATACAGTCAGCTCTTGATTATCTATGTTAATGGAATAGGCATAGAAACTAAAATACTAGAATGGCTTTTTTGGTTTGTGTATGTAAACATTTTATTCTTAACTTGGATGTAGCTGTTGGGGTTCTTTGTTGATAAAGTGGGGTCTTTCAGTGGAGACGGAGTAGGAAAAGAGAAGTGCAGTCCCTGTGTGTGGGCCCAGGTCATTCATTCATTTCTCCCCGTTACTTCCTGGCAAACACAAGAATCCAACATTCAGAATGTACACTAGCTTCAGAGTAGGGTAGTATAAGAGAGTTGTTGAACATTGAAGCTTGGTGTTTTGGCTCTGTTCTTTGTGTTGTTGTCTTTTTAGTACCAGATTGAAGGGTAGTCAAATCAAACTGTTGTGTGAAGGAAATAAAACAAGAGGTTTTACACTACCGTTTTTTTATATCTCTGAAGTGTATTAGGAGTTGACAGCTCTGATTTTGACCATTATAAAAACGTTTTAATTTTAAGATGGCCCTAGTTACCCACATTCAGTTCTCCTGTTTAGTAATTTGTCTAGAAATTACCTTAGTGATTTGAAGGACTGATTGTGTGAGGCCCTGAGAAGGAGCTTTCCTGAAGGTCACACGGAAATTCATATTTCCTTCAAGACTCCAGAACACTTGGATAGTTTCCAGTGAACACTTTACATGGCAAGTTGACATCTTTTGGAGTGCTTAGAATAGCTTTGAGTTGCAATTCACTTCTAGTTAGTTTTTCATTCAGATAATGATTTGCATTTTCTTAAATACAGATGTGCATACAAACAGATTGAGACAAAACATTAGCGATATCCTATTTTCTTCACTTTAATAGGAAATCTATACTCTTAAATAAATCTTATCAGAGAAACAGCTAAGAATTGGGAAAGAAACAATAACAAAGAACTCTGGATAGCTAGGATAAATTTCACAAAATCGTGAACCATGCTCCTTACATTTCCTAGGACTTTACTCGTGTAAGCACATCTTTTAACACTCATAGGCACTTGTCTGCCTGCCCCAACTCATTACAAATTAGAAGCAGAAAATTGGAAAGAGAGGGTTGCTGGTAAAGATAACAAAAGAAAATCAAAAAAAGGAAGCTCAAGCACTCTAAAAGCCACCCATTGGGCCATTTAGTAAGGGAGCCGACTATAGTTTTTCATACCTCAGAAGGTGACAGCAAAGCAGTGACTCTTTCTAATTGTCTGTTATCTAGAAAAGTTAAAGTATGTTCAGTGCAAACTGGTTTTTTTGTTGGTTGGTTGGTTTGGTTTTTCTTGTTGTTGTTTTTTAAGAGTAAAGAAATGTTTAAGACATGTCTGGGATGTTAAATAAATTGAGGGTGGGTGGTGGTATAATTCTTTAAGATCCCAAAACCAATTGGAATTTAACTTTGTTATTTTGGATTATTTTTATTGTTGTTATATTTGTTGTTGGTTTTTTTCATTTTGCGTTTATAAATTGACAGGTCAGTGTAATGAAAATATGACTTCAAGATGTAGATAATTGGTGTACCTTTCTTTGGAAGAAAAAGAGAAATAAATCCATTAATGTTATAAAATGTGATTCTTAGAAAAATTCCAAAGAGCAAATGTACTTTGTTTTCAAAATGTTTTGATTCATACTTAAAGTTTGAAAATATAAGCATTTTAGAATTCTTTACCTCTTTAATTTCTAAAAAATTAGGGGCACAATTTTATTTATAACTCACTTTATGGGTTTCTGAAGGTTTGTGTGTGGGATATGAGTTGAAAATTTTTTTAACAATGTATAAAGAAGCAGATTTGATGGACTCTTCCTCTGAGCCCATGATCTAAGGTTAGCCTCCTAGGATTTTTCTCCCTTAAAAGAACTCCTGTAAACCTTGATTAAGATCTCCCCTTATTTGCTGCTCATACCACCACTGGTGACTACTCCCGTGGCTCATCTCCATTGCCCACTGCTGGCTAAAAAGAGGGTCTGTTTGAATGGGCACCAGCATGGGCATGCCAGTAAGAATGCTCGGAAGGAAGAGCAGAAAGAGAGGAGATACTGCTTCAAGGATGAAATGCTTTCTTACAACTTCATAGGTAAAGAAGGAAGAGTTACTTAAAAGTATATGAGGACAGAAGGGAGACCCTAGTGTCAGAAAAGGAAGCATTTCTTGCTTACATTGGAAAAGGGCATAAGCATGCCCAGTCCCTAAGCCCTTGAACAAAAAAACAAGGTTATGATTTATCACTGTAGCAACAGAAGGGTAAGAGAACAAATACTCACTCTCATTTTCTTATAAAAATTTGAAAATTAAGTCAGGACTTTTTTCCCCAAGCCTGGCAGGGAGAATTAATATCATTTGGCCATGATTTTTATTGTTCTGAGTCCTTAATCAAATGCAGTTGTGTATGTATGTATGTTAAGAAAAGATTTAGAAGTTCAGAAACAGGAGTTCTTGGAGTGGCTGGCTTTACCTGGGACATCTACCAGAAGCCATAGTGTCTCCTGCCTAGATCTCAGCTCATGGAACCTATCACTCATCTGTCTCATTCTTTTATTTCTTCTCTCACACACTTTCTTCTTTCCTTTTGAAACTGTTTTCCAGTGTCTCCTCCCCTTCCTTTTCTTCTGTTCCCTTTTCCTATATATGCCATCTTTTCCTCTTATGTCTCTTACACAACACCAAAAATTCTTAATAGAATGGACCTTCTTCATGTAAGACCTCAAAAATGACAATCGGGCCCAGTATCTGCTGGGGCTCTGTTCCTGGAAACTTATTTGCTCCTCGCTGTGATTAGGATGGAGGACAGAGAAAGATGGGACTTTAGTTCATACTTCTTGAAAACCACTGGATAATAGACATAGCCTTTGAGAGAAATGAAATCTTTGTGTGCTGAAAGAGATAAGAAAGTTTGCAGAGTGTTTGTTGTTTTTTAACCCGAGAGGCAGTTTTTGTATTGTGTTTTGTGTGAGGGTGTGTTCCTGATGTAGTATCAATAGATGCAAGGTCTCCTGTAGGCAATGTGAGTGTGGTAAGTGATGAAGGTTCAGATTCTGCTGCAGATAATCAAGTGTTGACTGTATGCATAATGACAGTTGAGCAAAGTAAATGGGTGCCAGGTAATGTTCTAAATGTGATTTGTTTGCTATATAACCATATATTTTCAATGTATGGATTATTATGTAATATTTTGTTCTTACAGCCAGGTTGTCAAAGCAGTGGCAATAAACTGCCAAGTAAAACATTACAATTGCATGCTTAAAGCCATTTTCTTTTGATGTGAACATTTCTGAATTTGCAGTGATAGCTATTTTCCGTGGAGAAAATATAAGAATCTTGTATCCATGGACGAGTAGAAGAAAGGCGCATTAGAATTTTTTTAAGGGACTCTCTTTTCAGGTTGCCGGTGAACTTCTTGCAGTTGAGTAATGAATGTATTTAACTCTTTTGTAGGCATCCTCTGGTATTACGATTCCAAAACCCCCAAAGCCACCAGATAAGCCGCTGATGCCCTACATGAGGTACAGCAGAAAGGTAGGCACCTAGAACTGGGAAGGAGTGTGGACCACCACCTCTGCTTCTCAGCCATCCATGCAGCTTCAGCGTGGCCTAGTCTGTTTTTCTCTGCATATTCAGGGGAAGCATAAAAAATGTAGTTTTTAAAGAGCTTTGTTCTGATTTCAGAATTTCAGAAATAAAATCCAGCAAGAGGAGCATAATTAAATAAGACAGAATGTTTTGTAGCCATGAATGTAATGTGTTTTGAAGAATATTAAATGACATGAAAAAAATGTTAAGTAAAAAAAGTAATACAAGATTATTTGTATTATTTTTGTAAAAATCATTAAAACTACATGTTAGTTTGAGGGAGGGAACCTAGAAAACAATGGTTACCTCTGAGCAATAAGCTGATGGTAATTTTTATTTTCTATGTATTTCCTTGAATTTTCTAAATTTTTTGGTGATAAGCCTTATTACACTTAAAAATATGGCTAATATCTTTTTTAAAGGTATGGCATTTTAACAGACCTTTAGAAATGTTTTAATTTTTTGTCATAATAATTGTATATGTATTTGACAATATGATCATGTATTATAGTTTGCATTGTATTATGCAGATTAACAACTTTCTTGCTAAATTCACGTGAATTTTTAGAGACATCAGTTAGCTTATTGAGTTAACTCATCTTAAGTGCCTGTAGTGATTGGAGGTCTTCTTGATATATCAAATTAAAGTACTTAGGAATGAAGTGACATGGTGTCTGAGATCTACCTTAAAGTAATCTTACAGAACCAAGCACTATGGCATGTGCCTATGGTCCCAGCTACTCTAGAGACTGAGACAGTAGTTAAGGCCAGCCGTGACAATGTAGCAGTCTCAAAAGTAAATAAATAATAATTCATCAGGTTGGAGTAGGCCAACGAGGACATAGAAATACAATGCTACCTTTGATTTTTTTTTAATGTTTAAAAGTTTCTATATTAGAAAATATTTTTAAATGTTTAAATGTCCATATGTTTAGGCATCTATATTGAAATTCCATCTGTTTCCTTTTTAAGGTCTGGGACCAAGTAAAGGCTTCCAACCCTGACCTAAAGTTGTGGGAGATTGGCAAGATTATTGGTGGCATGTGGCGAGATCTCACTGATGAAGAAAAACAAGAATATTTAAACGAATACGAAGCAGAAAAGGTAGGAGCCCGCTGTGGTGGGACGGATACAGTATAAAGTGCATCATCCTTGGCTCGTTATTTATAAAAGAAACGTTAAGACTGGATCAGAAAGCCGAGGCTGCACTGTGGCTGCCTGCCTGGGCCCAGGCACATTTCTCTAGACCTTAGATTCCTTATCTGTAAAAAGAAGGTGACTTTAACACCTTGCCTACATGATGTCTTAAGATATTCAAATGAGATAATACACACTATAACCAGCAAAATGTTAATTATAAACTGAAAAACCTTTGAATTTCAGATAGAGTACAATGAATCTATGAAGGCCTATCATAATTCCCCTGCATACCTTGCTTACATCAATGCAAAAAGTCGTGCAGAAGCTGCATTAGAGGAAGAGAGTCGACAGAGACAGTCTCGCATGGAGAAAGGAGAACCTTACATGAGCATTCAGCCTGCTGAAGATCCTGATGGTAAGGGGAGAAAGTACAATTTTGTTTATGCTTTCTCTGAATTAATGTATGTTTTAATAATGTTTTTATTTTTTATCTTAAATGAAAAAGCAGTACTTAAGTGCCATTTCAATATCTTGATTATTTTGATTAAGATTTTTGTGTCAATTTCCCACAAGAAAAAGAAATATCCTTTCAGAACAGAAGATAGTAAAAACTATACTTACTGTTTATCAAAGTCTTTGTACTCAGAACTCATGGAAGGCATTTGAGTCACAACTAGGAATTTGCCTTCACTACTTTTAAAAAGCTAAAAAGAAACTGTGGCATATATACACAATAGAATATTACTCAGCATTAAAAGAGAATAAAATCACGACATTTGCAGATAAATGGATGGAGCTGGAGAATATCATGCTAAGTAAGCCAATCCCAAAAAAACCAAAGGCCAAATGTTTTCTCTGATATGTGGATGCTGGTCCATAATTGGGGCTAGGGGTGGGGTGGGGCATGGGAGGAATGGAGGAACTTTAGATAGGGCAAAAGGGAGGGAGGGGAAGGAAGCGGGTATGGGGGTAGGAAAGATGGTGGAATGAGATGGACATCATTACCCTAGGTACATATATGAAGACACGAATGGTATGAATCTACTTTGTGTACAACTAGAGACATGAAAAATTGTGCTCTATATGTGTACTATGAATTGAAATGCATTCTGCTGTCATGTACAACAAATTAGAATAAATTAAAAAAATTTTTTGAAAAGCTAAATGCCTTCTAGTTATACCCAGCTTTCTTTTTGATTCCTTGAATTTGCTGAATCAAAGATTCTTAAGAGAGAAAATTAATGAGTGGGTAGGAACATTATGAAATCTTGCTAGTAAATTCTGCAGTCCAACAAGAATTTACTAATACAAGTCATAAGGACCACTTGTGAGGACACACAGATTGTATATGTTCACACAAATGGCAGAGCTTTCTAATTGGGGTTCCATGAATAGTGTGCAGGTGTGCAGATTGCTCTCTGGGTTCTTTGTAGTCAAGCAGGGTCAGAAGCTACAAGGACCCCCAGAGACCGCCACCACAGATTAGAAGCACTCCTGTCCACTACCTAGCATGCTGTACTGAATACTGTGTTTTCTCTGTGTACACTATGATGTGGAAGAGGTTAGAAACTCCAACTATAAGCCACAAAAACATCAAGAAAATAAAATCCCATTTTAAGGTACAGTAACAGAGGGGAAGTTTGTAAAGAAGACACCAACAAGGGCAGTTTAAAGACATGAACAATATACTTATAAAGAGAAAACCAAAAATGAGATTTTTAAAAGAATGGACTGGGATATTGACAAAATGTTATAAATACACATAGTAAAATATAGAGAATAGAATATGGAATACAAATAATACCGATGTTAAGCAGTATCAGTAGCGCCAAAGGCACTAACATATGCAAATTTTAATTAAGGTGGGATGGTTAATGTAAGAAAAGTACATAGAATTGAAAAATAAAAGCTCAGGTCTACAAATAATTGGGAAGAAGAGGATCTGCACAAGAGAAACACGGGCTAACAACATAGAAGCTGTAAGCAGAAGATAAAGCTTTCCTTAAGTGAAAGATAACAGCATGACTTGAGAAAGTCTTGCCTTCTGCCTGTTGTGTTTTTAAGTTTAAGAGAGGCTCCTAAGCCGACTAATAGGAAAGGGTACAATAAATAAGGTGCCAATGTAAGAATGACTGTAGACCTTAAACCTCATCCCTCAGGACTTGGGAGGCAGAAATAGACATACAACCAAGAGACAGGTGGCACCTGCTGACATCAGTAGCAAAGGACCAGAAAAAGGTTCACAAGACATATGCCGTGCTCCACACAAAACACTGAAGGCTTTTTAAAATGACACTTGAAAGACAATCACATGTAGCACACTGTAGGCCTCTGTGGCAGAGTTTCCTAAAACATGGTCCCACCCCCCACCCCCGACTCTGGTAGTATACTAAGAAGTTAGGTGCTAGAGAGCAAATTTGTTTTTATGTGTTTTGCTTAAGGGAAAGCTTGGTATTTTTTAGATGAGTTAATTTAAAGGAAAGTAGATAATAGTACAGGTTGTTACCAGCTATGTGAAAAACTGTTGATGATAAAGCAAAAGCCAAGATTAAGAAAGCACTGTTGTAGTTATTAAAAGTAAGCATATAGTGCTGGGGTTAAGTGCTCTCCTAGCACGTGCAAGGCGCTGGGTTCGATCCTCAGCACCATATAAAAATAAATAAATAAAGGTATTGTGTCCAATTACAACTAAAATATATTAAAAAAAAGCATATAAGCCAGACCTGTGTAGTACATCAGTGCACGTTGACAACAGCTGTGTGCATGTGTAAATTGACAAAAATTAGAAGTAATTTGGGAATTGAATATTTTTTTTTCCTAAAGTTACCTATGCCTTCGTGGTGTTTTGTTGTGATGGTGGTGGTGGTGGTGGTAGTGATAGTGCTGGGGACTGAACCCAGGGATGCTCTACTACTGAGCTATATCCCCACCCATTTTATTTATTTATTTATTTATTTTTGAGACAGGGTCTTCCTGAGTTGCTAAGGCTGGCCTCATACTTGTGATCTTCCTGCCTCAGCTTCCTGAGTCGCTGGAATTGCAGTTGTGCACCACCACCCGCAGCCTTTGTGACTTTTTGATCTAATAAAATGAAAATGCTATCTATGAGAATGCTAGAGAGGATTTTTCTCTGTAGTAATAAGTTGATTTTTACAAATGATCATTTTCATCAATTGTAAAGAGCTACAGCAACAAAGACTACACAGTTCATATGTTGTTTACCAATATATATGCTGCCACTGTAGCTCAGTGGTAGAGCACTTGCCTACTGAGAGATATTGACATTCGAATTTCAGTTACTGCCATGGGGTGCAGCCTTCTTGTTGATACTGAAGCCTAAAGAGATATGGTTATATCTCATTTTTGTTTCATCCAAACCCTTCTCAGACTTCATCACTTAACAACTTTATGAGAAAAACCTTAGCCACAAAACACATTCTGTCTTCTATGTGGTTTTCACCAAGTGTCCGATACTGCTCTTGTCATGCTGGTCAGGCCAATGAGAGAGCACCACAGTTCCTCAATGTTAAATGTTAACATTGCTACACTCCTGGTTATGGTTACTGGCTACCTCATTTCTGGAACATCTTTTTCATTCCAGATTATGATGATGGCTTTTCAATGAAGCATACAGCCACTGCCCGTTTCCAGAGAAACCACCGCCTCATCAGTGAAATCCTTAGTGAGAGTGTGGTACCAGACGTCCGGTCAGTTGTCACAACAGCTAGAATGCAGGTCCTCAAGCGACAGGTCCAGTCCTTAATGGTTCATCAGGTACATCACAAACATTTGTTAAATAAATTGCTGCAAATCCCAGGTGACATGATTCTTATGCCATGCATACATAAACTGTGAAATGTTTCATTCTAACCTGTTGTGATTTGGGAAAGATGGTTACGGGAGTGAACCATTTCCAGAGGTTTATTAAGTTTGTCATTAAAAACTAATAGAGACAGTACACACCTGTAATACCAGTTACTTGGGAGGCAAGTTTGAGGACAGCCTGGACAAAATTTTAAAATAAAAGATAAAATTAAGGGGCTGGGGTTGTACCTCAGTGGTAGAGCACTTGCAATAAATAAATAAAGATATTGTGTCCATGTTCAACTAAGAATTTTTTTTTTAAAAAGTTAAAATTAAAGGACTGAGGATTTAACTCAGTGGTAGAGTGTCCTGGGTTCAATCCCCAGGACTGGTAGAAGGGGAAAAAAAACAAGTAGTAACAAAACCTTGTAATTGAAAGTATTTCTATTAAGAAATACATGTGCACTTGAGAATTTTAGACAACCTTTCCACATTTGTTGCTTTACTGAATACTTTTCCAAAAAACTCCTGAGGCCTGAAATAGTGTTAACATTTACTTTATTAATCACAGTCCTCTCTCTATACTTAATTTTATATTTTTAAAATTATAGCTAGATTCATGTTGTAGAATTTAAAATGTAAAATGTTATTTGTCACAGAAATTGAAAGAGTGATCATTAAAAAATGAGGTGTGTTTTCTGTGTTTGATATTTGCTTCAGAGAAAATAAGTAAGTAATCATAAAACCTGGTTACATGTCTTACAGCGAAAACTAGAAGCTGAACTTCTTCAAATAGAGGAACGGCACCAGGAAAAGAAGAGGAAATTCCTGGAAAGTACAGATTCATTTAACAATGAACTTAAAAGGGTATCCATTTGATGTGTTAACTATACTTTCATCACTGTTCCTGATACTTTCTTTTTCCTTGTTCTTTTTTCCAAAACTGTTTTTATTTAATATTGTTCACTTTGAAACAGAGCTAATGTCACTATACATATAAGACCTATAATATCTTTTATTTATGAAATTATTGCCATTTTCTGGAAAATTGCAATAAATTTGAGATATCATATAGTATATATGCACATATTAGGTCCATAGATGTTGGAGTCCTAATATTTTAAACTTCTATGCAGTCATGAATTATTTTCACTTTATTGGAATTATTCATCAGACTTTTAATGCAGTTTTCGTTTTGTATTAGAAAAGTAAATCTTGTGTTTGGGAGTCTGAAATATAAATTAGAAACCTTATGAATAATTCTGTCACAGTATTGCCTCTCCCCCTGTAGTACTTGATGATACGGGACTGCACAAACAACTTCTTTATGTTTATGCAAAAGAGTTTCAGGGAAGACTGAGAAGCATGTTTTTTTCCTCCTGTATACATATATTTATTTCATAGGCAAGAAAACCTACTTTTGAAGCAATTTATCTGGTTCAAAGGTTATAAGAAGAAAACATTACTAAAGGAGTTTTTTGGGTTTTTTTTTTTTTCTGACTACTAGTTGTGCGGTCTGAAGGTTGAAGTGGATATGGAAAAGATTGCAGCTGAAATTGCACAGGCTGAGGAACAGGCCCGAAAAAGGCAGGAGGAAAGGGAGAAGGAGGCAGCAGAGCAAGCCGAGCGCAGTCAGAGCAGCATCACTCCCGAGGAAGAGCAAGCGGCAAACAAAGCCGAGGAGAAGAAGGATGACGAGAGCATTCCAATGGAGACAGGTAAGCACCAGACACCGCGGGAATCGCCAGGGCCTTTTACAGCTATCTGTAATTTTGATTTTTCTTTCTAAATGCTCTTAGACATCATTCTTGTCTCTTGAGTAATTCTCTATGTGACCTACCCAGTTCTTTCCAAATCCTAACTTTATGGTAGACCCACTGAAAAAGTTGGTATCACCATGGAACACCAGTGACATATTGTCGGCAGTCTTGCCATCTGAGGTGTTTGACATTGTACTCAGATGTGCTGTTTTTTAACTTGAGATTATGAAGTAGACCAGTATGATGGTTAAGGACCCTGGTCCAGGAGTCACACAGATTGGGGACTAGAACTAGAACCTCAACTGTGGATAGTTTTTTAGTTTGTTTCCTCATTTGAAATTATCCTAGTACTGCTTCTGTGAACACATTCTGGTACTAGATTTAACATGGTGTTAACACTCAGCATTTTGACTTTTATCACTCATATTAATTATTCAAGGTGTGATCATTGTTAAGATTGTGTCCTAGGATAGTGTCAGGCAAAGTAAAACTTATAGGCCAAATCCTGCCACACTTTTTTTGTAAAAAGTTTTATTAAAACACAGCCACACCGGTTTGTGTATATATTGTATATGACTGCTTTGAGGCTACAGCAGTATGGTTGAGTAGTTGCAGCAAAGACTACCTGGCCCACAAAGCCTAAAATATTTACCATCTAGCCCTTTACATAAAAAGATCATTGACCCCATCCTAGAAGAACTTACTTCTAGGTAAACTGATTTTCCTGGGGAATAAAACATCCTGCAAGTTAGAAAATTACATGTAGGACTTGTATAAAGAACTGATTAACTGATTGCTTGAAATTTCCAGATCACCTCACTTTCTGGCACTATTTTCACCTACTTAGTGCACCATGTAAATAGAACTAAGCTGAGAGTAGTTATAGGAATACAGCCAGAGGCTTCTTCAACCATCATTGCCAGAAGTAGCGGGGACAGTAGTTATACTTGTACTCAAATGACAACCATCTGAAAAGTATTTAATGGAATATAAATATCTTCACCAGACATTTCTACAAAATATAATTCAGTAGATGAATATTTCACACGGATTTTAAGTTTTATCTTCTTAGCCTCATTTCTGTTTTTTTATAAACATGTTTTTTATCTTAAATTTGAAGCATGAGCACGTTTGTGGTTAAATTAAGAGCTTGGGAATCAGGGTATGGGTCTTTGCTCATTTTGCAACTAGACATTACTCAGTCAGAGGTTTTGTCATCTGTGAATGGGGCCTTTCTTATTCTTAAGGCCTGTGGGTCTTTACTCAGATTCTATCCTTATAGCTTAAGAAAAAGAAATGAAGAAAATGAAGACTGCAAGCAAAACCCTCATGCTCTTAATTTCTTATAGGAAACAGCCCAGTGTGACATTTAACAAAGTATCTAAAATATAAATTTGATATTATTTCCACATCTGCCCTCTCACTTAATCCAAAAGCCACAGAACAGCACTGTTCAATAGTAATATACTGTAAGTCACATGACATTTTAAATTTCATACTAGTGACATTTTTTTAAAAATTAGGCAAAATAATTGACATTAATTTGATGATATTGTATTTAACCCAATATATCTTAAATAGTATTTCAACATGTAATCAACATTTTTAAAATTATCAACTTTTTACATTCTTTTTTTCACACAATAAGTCTGAAATCCAACATGTATTTTATTCTTAGAGCACATCTCAATTCAAAAGCTAAATTTTCATCTAAAGTATTTAATCTGTGCTTAGATTTTTATAGAACCTACTGCTAAAGAAGTAGATTTTCACACCCCAGATTATGCCACACATACTTAAAAGCTCCTCACTGACACTGGCTCATTTCAGGTACTCACTAGCCACAGGTGGCTAATGGCTACCATATTGGACAGCACAGCTCCATGCTGCCCATGTCCATGTAGAGCAGATATTTATCTTCAAACTGACAGTGTCACGTGTGATTACAGAGGAGACACACCTCGAAGAAACAGCGGAGAGCCAACAAAATGGTGAAGAAGGCACGTCCACTCCAGAGGACAAAGAGAGTGGGCAGGAGGGGGTGGACAGCATGGCGGAGGAGGGGACCAGTGATAGTAACACTGGCTCAGAGAGCAACAGTGCAACAGTGGAAGAGCCACCAACAGATCCCATGCCGGAAGATGAGAAGAAAGAATAATTGTTGCCTTGTTTTATGTGTCCTAAATACTTTTTTAAATGAAAAAAATGTTTTTTGGTTTTAATGGTGTTATGTGGTCTGTGTATTAATTTTTTTCTTGTCTGTTTCATACCACCAAAGGCTTTTTGGACCATGAGTGTCATGAGCCCAGTGGCACAGTCAGTCACCTTTCTTAACATTGTAAAGATGGCTTTTTTCTTTGGATCTTGTTGCTAGCCCTCATCTGCCAAAAGCCTCAGAATTTAAATTAATTGAGAAAACACCCACCTCTTTTAGAGAGTTATCCTTTGATGCTGCAGAATCTCCTCTTACAAATGCCTTCCTCCAGCTCACTTGGGTGCTTACCAAAGCCATAGCTTTAAACCTTCCCAGTCCCTATCAACAGCTTCCTGAAAGTCCCCTCTCTTGTGTATATGTGCACAGAGTACATTCTTGAGAACACAATCATGAGTGTGTGTATATTTTTTCACTTGCCCTTTTTATTTTAAATCAGTGTCAGATATCAAGAGTTGTGTTAAAGGCTACAGTGTTGCCTACAACCAACTATCCTTGGATCGTACTGATCCAGAGTAGTCTCCACAGTTACAGTAGTTCCTGGCTTATGACGTAGTCATTAAAATGAACATAGCACATTTTTGTTATCTATACTGCTTTTTTGTTCTGGTTAATATTGGGTGCATTCTGGTAAATTCATCCTTTGTACTGGGGGAAAAAACACTTTTTTACCAAGTTTTCCAAAGACAGAATAGATCACAAAGTTAAGGAATGGAATGTTCTTGTAATAGACTAGATAACTTCATAATGATTAGCCCATTCCAGAAGAAAAACAGCTGGGAATTAAGTTCATCCACATGAAATTGTTTTACAATAAACAAAACATTCAAAACCTCAAGGCTCAGGATCCCATAGATCAGAGCCTACCTCCCTTTTTGATAAACTTAGTAAAGTCTTGGAGACTAGAAGAAAGATAGTTTGTCACACGTATGCTTCCAAAAAACTAGAATAGATTTTTACTGAATAGTGGTATATCTGATGGTATATGTTTCTTAAAGGTCCAAATGTAATAAAAAAATGAAAAAAATGGTCTCAGTGTTTTTAATGCCCTAAATATTTGTATGCAAGACAAGGATACAGTTTTGTCTCAATAGTGCAATGACAGTATGGAGGGGCCACTCGGTCATTTGAATTTACATACTCAGGGCCCTTGTCTGTAAATGCTGCAGTTATTAAGTTAATTTGCACAATACAATTGTGAAAATAAGTTTCCTTCCATGATAGTTAGGTCACATGCATTTATCTTGAGTAAGAATGCATTTATGACATTTAAATTTAAATTATCTTTGAAAAAAGCACGGGGCTGGGGATATAGCTCAGTTGGTAGAGTGCTTGCCTCACATGCACAAGGCCCTGGGTTCAATCCCCAGCACCACAAAAAAAAAGGAAAAAGAAAAATAACATGGGTGTGCTTTGGGGGCAAGAATTCTGTACTGGAATGTCCTCGTTTATGATGAATTCACTTGCTCTGAACCCACAACACCATTAGTGACTGTAACTCCACATCATGCTTAGTCTCTTGAGAGGGAGCCTGATTTTGGGTGCAAATATCCTTTGATGTCTATTCTAGATAATATGTGGTAACTTTTTCCTGGTTCCTTGTGAGTGAGAGAAACTGATAAATGAGTCCATTTCTAGGTGTTGGGCATTGCAGGAGAACTCAAACCGATCTCAAATTGTACAGCCTCCTCTGATATGGTGCAGAGAAGTTGTTAAATAATAGAGGTGGAAAACAGTGCAAGAGCAAGGTGTCAGATTATTTATCCAAGTCTCATGAGAGGATGGAAGTGCTTCCTTTGCTGAGCTGGAGATGGGTGGCACTGGGAAAACATCTGCCTGGCCTAGGCCTGTCCTCGCCAGGCAGTTCTGGCAACTGGCTGAAAGGTGAATTAGGTGGAATTTGACAGTTTTTAACCTCAGGGGGCACAGAGTAACTTTTCTTCTTTGTTAAGGTGATATGTACAGACACGGATATTTCTTAGTTTTGAGAATGTGAGATATAACATTAATTTTTCATCCTCATAGACATTGGGAAAATAGTTTAAAACTCTGAGCCTGTTTCAACTAACATAGATTGAACTACTTTCTATTTCAGTGCCTTTTCTGCTCCATATAGCCATGATTTTTAATGCATTTATCTTGAGTAAAAATGCACAAAATTTGAGGGCTTGAGGTATATTAATTTTTTTTAAAGAGAATTTTTTAATATTTATCTTTTAGCTATTGGCGGACACAACATCTTTTGTTTGTATGTGGTGCTGAGGATTGAACCCGGGCCGCACGCATGCCAGGCGAGTGCGCTACCGCTTGAGTCACATCCCCAGCCCCAAGTTATATTAATTTTTAACAACAAATAGGGTTCCATGTCTCCCCAGTTTTCTCACTAGAATGCCAAATTCTCTTAACTCACCACCTGTCAATAAGCATGTCTTTCTTAGCTGGGCGCCATGGCACATACTTGTAATCAAAGTAACTCAGAAGGTTGAGTCAGGAGGATCAAGTTCAAAACCAATGAATGACAAAAGCCAGTGACAAAGTGTTTAGAGACCCTGTCCCTAAATAAAATACAAAATAGGGCTGGGGATGTGGCTCAGTGATTGAGTGGACTTGAGTTCAATCCCAGTACAAAAAAAAAAAAAATACATAAGCATGTCTTTTTTAAATGACTCCTACAGTACATGATAAATATGTCAAGTCATGCACAGCATACAGATATTTCTATCAACAGAGGACCACATATAAGATAGTGGTCTCATAAGATTGTAATGGAGCTGAAAATTGCCTGTTGGTAAGAATTTTTACTGTGTCTTTCCTATGTTTAGATACACAAATGCTTACCTTGGTGTTACAAGTGTTAAAATTGCCTACAGTGTTTATTTAATGCAGTAACATGCTGTACATGATTGTCACTAAGAGCAGTAGGCTATAGCCTAGGTGTGTGGTGGGCCATACCATCTAATTGTGTATGAGTACACTCACTATGCCATTTGCATGACAACAAAATCACCTAAAGATGCATTCCTCAGAATATCCCCATTGTTAAGTGACACATGACTCTATAGATGTTTAAGAGATTTGGAAGAAATAAATAGATGCTATCTTATTTTAACATGGTAATGTGAATGTCAAATGGAAAAGATACAATAGGTTGACTTATTTTTTTATTTATTTATTTTTGTATTGGGGATTCAACTCAGGGGCTCTCGACCACTGAGCCACATCCCCAGCCCTTTTTCATATTTTATTTAAAGACGGGGTCTCACTGATTTGCTTAGCACCTTGCTTTTGCAGGGCCTGGCTTTGAACTCATGATTCTCTTGCCTCAGCCTCCCAGGCCACTGTGATTACAGGCGTGCTCCCCCATGTCTGACATAAATTGACTCTTTTAAAAAAGGAATCTGAGGTCATGTATATTTATTGAAGTTTAACTAGATGTGTCCAAATTTTTAGTTTTGATCTTCTACAGTTAGATTCTAGTGTTGGATGTTAGATGGCGCTGACAGTACAAAACTCCTATCGCCTGCAGTTAAGCTTAAGCTTTAGTTTTTCGTGTGAACAAGCAATAAAGCTGAGATTACTTTGTTAAATCATTTCAGAAATAGTTCCCCTGCCCCAAGCACTACTACACACAGTCTCCTCACTTAGTTTCAGCTAGTGTGTATTTTGTATTTCACCGCTGGGCAAAACTTACTGGAAGAACTACAGTTGACTTCTTAATGATTTGCACATTAGAGGGTTTAATGCCTTTACAAATGATAGATAAACTGTGCAGTAACATGCTAAAAGGAACTCAGAGCCTTTTTAGAAGAAATTGTGCTGAATTATAATTTGACTTACTATGATGATATCTCTTTGATCATTATGGTAGGGAAAACACTTGAGTAGAAAGTAATGCCCAAGAGTTATTAGAAATCATAAAACTGCTTATAAATATCTATTAGCTTGAACCACAGGAAATGGCCAATGTAGGTGTTTAATCTAAAAAATGACAGTTTCACCTGCTTCAGCCTAATAATAATATTGCATTTTTTACTCCGAATGTAAGCTCTTACTTGTAGCTTTCTGAGTGTGAAATGATGGTGATTTACCAGACTGGCCTATACTTCTCTAATAGCCTTACTAAATGTTGTTAAACAAAACCCTGATGAAAATGCAAGTCTCTCTCCAGTATTTAATAGCCAGGTTTCTAAAATAGACTGAGGTAAACATATAGTTAAACTATCTGACTTACATTCACATTGTCTTAACCAAAATAGGGGGGTTTTTATTCGGATTCGGGAATAAAAATTGTTATGTGGGGAGGGGAAATTCCCAAACAATAACTTGCTCATTACATAAAACAGACAGTAACTGCAGATAGCAGCTCACTTTGCTGAGACACTTGAAAGTAGGAAAGGCTTCCTCATATTCCTTGGCATTAATGAGAGAGTGTTAAGGCAGCTGCCTCCGGCACCCACCAGCACTTGGTCCCCAGGTCCCCTAAGGCATCATGCTCTACTTAAATATTTCTAGTCTCAGTGAACCCTTCATCTCTTAAGACAGTTCATTCCTTCCTTAGTTATCTAAAAATATTTCCTACTGAGCTATAAAATCCGTCTTTCTATAATTTCAGCCCCTGACTGATGTACCTTGGAGTCAAAATAGAATAAATGTAATCCTCTTTCAAGTAAAAGATCTTCAACTATTTCAAGACAATAGTTTATTTAATGCAGTAACTTGCTGTACATAATTGTCACTAGGAGCAGTAGGCTATAGCCTAGGTGTGTGGTGGGCCATACCATCTAATTGAGATCCTTTCATGAGACAGTTTCCCTTCTGATCACCTGTTGTCTCTCCTCTGGTGTCTCTTCTTGGTGAGGTGAGGCTAAAGGAGGACTAAGCCCTTCCCGCTTCTGAAGTCTGGACCACTAAAAAGCACTGTTTTCTTTAATATGGTGAAACTGTCATTCCTCCCCAGTGTACTGCACTTAATCAAAGCACCACATCTCTAGACCTCAGAAACCATCTGTCTAAAATAA